TATAAGAAGGCATAAGGGTTCTGATTTATTTTGAAGGTACGGCCACAGGATTTCCTGATAGTATGAGAGAGAATGAGAAGAATTGAGGATGACTTTAAGTTTTCTCGTCTGAGCATCTGAGAGAATGAATTTAACAACAATCGAGATGGAGAAAGTCTGAAAGAGTGGAAGAGATTCTAGGTAGGAAATCAGGGGTTCAGTTTTGGGCATGATCACTTGGGATGCCCTTAAAACTTCCAAGATGAGGCATAACGAGTTGGAGTCCAAGCAAGAGATTCAGTCTAAAAGTATAGATTTGAGAGAGGCCAAAATAAATGGATGGAGTTTAAAATCATGAGAATGGAAGAAATCACCAAGGGAATAAGTATGGAGATCCAGAAGAAAAACTGAATCAGAGCTGAGCCTGAAGCCCAAATAAAAAAGGACGTGTTTCTCAGGAAACCAAACCCAAAATCCTTGACTGGAGGGTAGAAGCAGAGTAGGTAGTAGGAAGAATTATTATAAGTTTCAGCTTCGGGGACTTGAAGAAGGTATGTCTAAAAGGTCTCAACTCCTGAACCACATAATGGCTGCCTGGAGTTCTGTCTGAGGAAGATGCTGGGACCCTGTCTGGGTAGGAAAGAAATTAGTGATTAGTGTTATCTGCTACAGTTGTGGAGTGCCAAGTGACAGCCAGCAGGGCAGCATCAGATTTTTACCATTCTTTGCTGAAAGGAAGGGCCACGTGACTAAGAATAAGCAGCTACTGGTGTTTGGAGAGTTCACGGAAATGCTCTCAACTTATCAAGTCAGTTTATGTGTTTTGTAGCAATATCAGTATACAACTTGTTGCTGAAATTATCTTGTGTGTAAGAATAATTTTATTGCTCTTGAGCCATTAGCATATGTTGGACTTAGGTGTGTGAAAGGTGCTCCATAAAAGAAGAATAGAGAAAAAGAAGATCTGTAACAAGCAGGATGGTCTACATAATTTGTGGGCTCAAGGCACAAATGGGAAAAGTCAAAACCCAAGACAGAGTGGAACTTTTAGCTCTGGCTCTGTGAAAAGACTGGGCAAATTCTCTCCCCTAAATGCAACCACAGTGCGGGAAAAACTGACAAATACAACTATTTAGTGCTTTGGAAACCAACCAAAGGCACAAAACAATCTGAGAAGTGTTTATGTTTTAAAAACCACTGAGCTTCATGTAGGAAGAGTGGGAATCTGTAAAGTCCTAGCCTGAGACTTCTCCATCCAACTCACCACAGCTTATAGGTTCTGCCACGGTAGGGACAGCAGTGATGATCAGCAGCCTCACTGCCAGTGTTGAGACTCACCCAATTTGGACAGGTGGGCAATGCAAACACTTAACAAAGCTGTCAATAGAAATGATCATCTTGGAGGTCAATGGGTGAGGAGAATCATGGGCTCCCTCAGTCACAGGTCACATTTGTGGTCAAAGACATCATACTCCTGGCTAAGGCTATTTACATATCCAGTGGGGATTGAGAAGAGCATAAGCATTTCACATACTTCTGGTTAATCCTAGGTCTGAGTGCATGAGCATAAGACACTCCAAAGGGCTCAAAAGCAATTAAAACTTAGGAGACTTCAAAACAACATGAATTTGAAATGTGCTCCCTTACCCAGCCATAAACATATCCAACAGCAATGGATAGAAGCCTTACTAGTTTGAGGTGTTAGAGCACAGTTGATGTGCAATCATTAGTTGACCAGTAAGCTGTACAGACACAGGAATGACCTCTAGCAATCCAGGTTTAAAAATGAAGGGTATATGTAAAACAACAACAATTTAGCAGAGTCATTAGTGGCTGCTGGGGACACAGATTTCACAGATGTAGTCCAGGCAAGTTATTAAACAAACAAAACACCAGCAACAACAACCTCCAAGGGAAAAAATACCAGAATCAGAGTAGCTACAGTGTATTAACTAGAATGTCCCGTTTTTGAGAGAACAAGAGACATGCCAAGAAACAAGAAAGTGTGACCCATACTCGGGTTAAATAAAAAAAAACAGTGACTAGAAACCATCCTTGTGTTACCAGTTATTAGCAGACAAAGGAAGGCTTCAAAGCAACTATTACAAATAGGTTCAAAGCACTAAAGGAAACTGCATTTAAAGAATTAAAGGAAAGTGTGACAATAGATCAACAAATAGAGATTCTTAATGAGGACATAAAATTATTAAAAGTACCAAGTGGAAACTCTATAGCTGAAAAGTACAATAGCTGTAAAAAAAATAATTCAGTAAAGGGGCTCATCAGCAGGTTTGAGAGTGCAGAAGAAAGAAGCAGTGAACTATAAATTGGTAGAAATTACCCAATCTGAAGAATAAAGACAAAAATGAACAGAGCCTCTGAAACCTGTGGGATAAGATCAAACGTAGCAACCTCCATGTAATGGGAGTCCCACACGAACAGAATAGAAAGGGACAGAAAAATAATTCGAAAAACTAAGAGCTCCGACCTTCCCAAATTTGATTTTTTAAAAGCATTAATCTATACATCTAAGAAGTTCAAAGAAACCAAAGCGTGATAAATATAAATAGATCCACACCTTGACACATCATAGTCAAACCGTTGAAAGCCTAAGCCAAAGAGAAAATCTTGAAAGCAGCAAGAGAAAAACAACTCATCAAATATAGGCAAATATCAATACAATGTACAGCTGGCTTCTCATCTAAAACCATGGAGGCCAGCAAGCAGTAGAATGACATATTCAGAATTCAGAAAGAAAAATAACTGTCAAATAAGAATTCTGTATCTAACAAAACCATTCTTCAAAAATGAAGGCAAAATAAAGGCATTCTCAGATAAACAAAGGCTGAGCAAATTTGTCGCTAGCAGATCTGTCTTGCAAGATATACTGAAGGAAAGAAGTCCTTCAGGAAAAGACAACCAGAAAGCAACACAAATCCACAGGAAAAAACGTGGAGCAGTGCAAATAATAAATACATAGGTTAGTATAAAATATTCCATTAATGTATCTTTTCTCATCATTCCCTAAAATCTTTTGAAGACATAAGATTTTATGAAATAATAATGTTAATACTGTATTTTTACATTTAGAATATGTAGTTTCAATATATATGACAATAATAGCACAAAGGGAAGAAAAATGGCATTATATTAGAGCAAAGTTTCTAAATTTTAAAATCAATATTTATCTGAGGAAGGCTGTCATAAATTAAAATGCATATTGCAATCCCTAGAGTAGCCACTAAGAAAATAACACAAAAGAAATATAGTAAATCCACAGAATAGTGGAAATATAGTAAATCCACTAAAATATTTGTTCAACAGAAAGAAGGCAGTCAAGGAAGAGCAGATAGTCAAAAAAGACAGGAGACATATTAGAAATCTAAGGCAGGTCTTTGGTAAAATTTCCCCTTTTTGCTCTTGTGTGATTTTAATAAAGAGGGAATTGAAGATCTATAACAAGCAGGACCGTCTACTTAATCTGTGGATTAAAGTCAAAATGAAATGCAGGGTCCCTGTTTGAAAAGTATTAGGAATTTCAAGATGGCGGCAGCAGGTTGTAAAGAAAAACAAGGGGTCCTTCTGAGCACAGGGCTCTGTGACTGCATGAGTTACTTACCTATGAAGCTGACCTAATGACAAGAAGTTACCATATCCCATTTTCCTACTCTTTCCATAAGCTTCCTTTGGGGATACAGTACCTTCAGTTCCAGTCTTTCCCTGTTGTCTTTTCCTTTCCCATCCTTGAATCCCAAATCTCCAGCATTTGGGAAGGACTCATCCTTCACAACTCAAAGTCCGAGAGACAGGATCCAAGCTATCACATCCATGTGAGGCAGCTGTGACTACACTCTGCTACATATTTTTTTTGCATTAAAACCTGCAGTTCCCTTACTTGTGATGACCCTGTGGTTTCCAAGGGCAGTTGTCATTGTCAGCAAAGGCAGCAAGGCAGTCTCCACAAAGAACATCCTTCCAAGTAGCTGATATTCCTGAATTCACTTGACAATCTGTAGTGTACAGGGAACTCAGGAAGGGGTCTGGGGGACCATGCTGGGGCAAACTGATGGGCTTGGTAGGGTGCTGTTACCTCGTGGTTCAGCTGTGCAGTGATCTCATCGTGTCTTCATAATCAGGCTTTATGACTACCATACAAATAATTGACTGGAATGCAGTTCACTGGTGTCAGACACACTTGAGAGCACTCTGTGAGATCATGGCCCTAAATCACACAGGCCAATTCTACTTGGGCTTTGATAGGTAAATTTTGCCTACTTATACTTTATGATAAGCTCTGGTTCCCCTTTGGTCCTTCAGACCATTGTCATACTTGCTGTCCTGAAAAAAAGTAAGTGAATTTGATGACGAGCCTGAAACATGGTTGTCACCCATGAATATTATGAGTCTTTTGGTTTGAAGTCAGAGAAAATCTGGCTCAAAACAGGCTTACTTAAAAAAGGGAATTTCGACTCTCACGTAGCTGAAAAACCCAGAAATAGTACAAGCTTTGGAATAAGTTGTAAGTGGCTGAGTTATATCATCAAAAACAATTTTTTTTTGTTTTTCTTCTTGATCTTCTGTGGTATCTTGCTTAATCCTATAGTTCGATTTCTTTGGAGATCCATAATGATTTCTCACACCTTCTTGATCCTTCTTATGCTGTGTAAATGTCCAGCAAGGAGAGAGAGAATTACTGTCCTTAAAGCTTACTGACTCAGAGAGCATTGTTCCCAGAAGCCCCAGCAGACATCTCCTTGTTTATCATTGGCCTGCACCTTGTCTTCTGGCTTGAGTTAATCACCGTGAAAAGGCCGGTGGGATGTGCTGATTGGCTTAAAGCAACCAGGCTTCTACTCTAGAACTGAGCGGGCTGTTCTTCCTCCAAGCACATGGGCTGCATAGTAGAAGCAGTTCCCAGATGGAGAGAGAATGCTGTGTGCTCGGAGGGTGAAGGCATCAAAAGCCCACCACCCCCACCAATGGGAAACATTGACTATTGTGAAGTCAGTGACCACCAGGCCCTGAACAGCCCTCCATGTGACTGTAGAGCCAAGATGTTGAAGACAGCCGGGAGGAGGAGCTGGGAACACTGGGCTGCCTCCTACCATCTAGGTTGCGGTCCAACATGTGAGAAACACCAATACAAATGAAAAGCCATCGAATGTGCCCAATTGTAAATATCATCCTGGCAGACACTGACCTAGGAGGTAGAGTCCTGGAGAAGTGTTTATTTCTGCTGTAAAAAAGGTAAGGGGAATTTTCTTAATATTTTTGGATATCCAGTAGTAATAATAATCCCTACCATCATGCACACCTGGGGAAAATGCACAGGAAAGCAGAAACTGCAAAGATTGAACCTTAACCACCAAGGGGATGAAGGAGTGAATTAATGTTAAGATATTCACTTATTGTACTGGTGTTGATCAGCACCTGCTGCATACTTGGCCCTGACCTAGGCACTGTACAGGATATGTCGAGTTTAGCATAGTGTTTCAGAACACAGGCCTTGGAGTGTCTCCGACCTAGAAATGAATCCTGGCTCTGTCACTCCGTCTCTCCAAGCCTTGGCTAACTTATGTGTGTGATGAGGATGCACCTACCTCCAGGGTCCACTATGAATATCAAATGACAGAAAATAAATTTAAGAAAATAAAGCACTCACCCAAGTGATTGGCACATTTGTAATCACAAGAAATGGCAGGTATCTTACTCACAGTTAGGAGCAGTAGTGGTGTTACACGTGAAAGGTCAATAAGACATGGCTGCTATTCTTTAGATGCCCATCAAGGAGAAGAGATGTGAAATGTGTACAGGGGCTGAATGTTGGAGGAAAAATAGGGATAAAATGACAGAAGTTTGCAGGAAGAAGAAACTTTTCTGTGCGGGGAGCCGAGAAGCCTCCCTGATAGGCATTTTACCTGCAGAAGCTAGTGGGCTTGTATTTAACTTTAGGTGACATCTTTTGGCTCTTTTCTCTTATGTCTTTTTAAGAAACCAAATCTTAAGTGTCAGTACAAAGGCTGTAAAAGCAGGCTACGTGAGTAACATTGACACTCGCTTAAGAGTACATTCTCTCCAGAGAGGGCGAGATGCTGGATGTCTCCATTGCTCTGTCCTGCCTAGTGTGGGAGATGAGACCATGTGGCAAAAGGAGTAGCTGCTTTATTCCTGGCTTAGAATGGGGCTATTAGATTATACTCCCATAGGCATTTGATAATCTGTTTAACTGAGCTCAGTCATTTGTCTTGTTTGCTGACTACTTAGCAGATGGATTTGTGATTTTGGTAATTACTATATGAACGTTAATAAGACAAGATATCTTTTATTAATTACTACTTTGTGTGGTTTGTTTTTCAAAATAGCAAAAACTAGGTGACTCACAAATATTAATGAGTCACAAGTATTAGATGTGCAGAATTAGGATTTGGAGGTTATTTGTTCTGGAATGGCTGTCCCCTCTTGAATTTTTTACTCAAGAACAAAGATCAGAGCTCCTGTATTGTACTCTGCACCCTAGAAAAGGCTAATTTGGTCTGCTCAGCCAGAAACTGCTTAATTAAGAGAATGCTCGTTTATACCTTTTCCATTTTAATTCTCTCCAAAGAGGTTTTGGTGTTTAAAGGATAAAATACTTACGGAGAATCTCAGTTATGTCATAAGAATAATTTTCTAATAGAATTAAATGAGATTTGGACCTGATTTTTAGAGGGAAGTGGGTACTGCTGATGTATCCACTCCCCCACCCCGCACATACACACACACACAGAGCAGAGCATAATAGGGCCCAACGGTGTGCCAGAGGCTGGGAGCAGATTGGTAGAAGTTTCATCCTGCTCTGTGGCTCTCTCCCCTCCATACACAAAAGCATCAGCAAGCCATCCTGAAAAACCATTTCCTGGTAGGGACTGGAAGTCCCACAGTTTTGTAGCAAAAAAACAGCATCTCTTCTGGGGTAACTCAGTTGGAAAGTACTTCTGAACAAAGCAATCAGGTGGCATGTTGTTACTGCCCTCCCTGAAGAACTCATTTAATGACTCCTAGGAGGGTACAATTTCCTTTAAAGATCCAGTGCCTACAGTGCTTTGAACTGCCTGCATGTCTTATTGTTGACAGCTTCAACAAGCATTTCTTGAGCACACACTGTGTGCCTCACACTGTATTAGGCTTGGTGAAGGCTTTATAGTGCACAGTGAAGACAGCCCATGCCCTGAGGGATTTATAGCCCATGTCCCTGGTTATTACGGGGGCAGCCATGGTGTCAACTGGTTTTTGCACTAAACTTAAACCAGCACATAGACTCAGAGGAATAGTCTGCTCATCTCTCTGCCCAGCTACCTTTTCAGGAACTCAAGTAAATCCTAATAATTACTATAACTTTCATTTATTAAGAGCTGATTATGTGCTAAGCACTTTACATGCATTTTCTCACTGGCTCTTCACACACACACACACACACACAAAAACCTTTGGTAATTATATTTATAAGCCCATTTTATAGGTGAGCAAATTCTGATTAACATCAAAAATCACACTGTTATTAATCAGCCGTTAAGTGGTAGAGCTGTGTCAGCAGCTGCCATTATATGCAAAGTAGAGTAACTTAATTTTGAAAATTAATATTTAATTCAATGACTGGTTTTTTTTATCTTATTACAAGCCACAGAATTGGGACTACTGAGCTGTTTTCAGCTTTAGAGCTGCTCTTCTGGCATAATCCATAAATTGAACACAGGGCTTTTCACCTGACCACATAGCAAGGATCTAGAGATACTGGTTGGCTGCCACAGGGACCTCTTTACAAAGTATGTCCAGTTGGGACCAGTGAATCTTTCAGTGATGCTTTCTTGAAGAGATGTGTGGAAGTGATTGGCTGCTGCACCATGGAAGTAGGCATCGGTATGGGAGAATGTGTGGCTACTGCATCATGTCTCAACTGGGTGGTCTTTTGCTCTGGCTCTGTCTTTGTTGCCTGGGCAACCTCTCTTAGAATGTGAGCAACTCACTTTCCCTTTTTTCATGTAGATCTGTGGGAAGAACTAAAAGTTAGAGCTATGGGTTGCTTGTTATCCACTACCACCTATAGCTGAGAGATCAAAGCAATACTTGGGGGAAAGCACACCATTGGGCCCAAGGTGCAGAAAGACTCAGACTTACCCAGCATCTCTCAAGGTAGCTTTGAAATCAGATGGGAGAAAGATCACCTCCTTGAATCCCAGCGGCTTTCTATACTCAATTTTTTGTGTAAGTTGAATATTCTATAGTAGCTTCCTTTATTTTTCCTGTTAGAGTTGGAGGAATTTTGAGAAGGCAATGCTATGGAGTAAGTGCGAACTTAGGTTTGGGAATCAGTTTTGGGTTCAAAGTTTAGCTTCACCATTTGCTAAGTGTATGTCTGTGGGCAAGTTACTTAACTCTTCTTAATCTGTTTCCTCATCTACAAAATGGAAGTGCTCAAATATACATCTTGCATATAATTGATTTCCATTCATTTATTCAGGGTCTACTAATGTGACAGGCAATTAGCTCAATGTGAGGGAAGCAACTGTGATAAGAAGGCTCTGCACCTGCCAGCCTTCACAAAGATTAAATCTACCAGCAGAGTTTCATATCCAACTAGTCACTAAAGGTATTGAGTTACAAAAGAGGAAATGGAATGAATCATGGAAGCAAACAACAGAGAACCCTATCTAGTTTAGGTAGAATTGGAGACAGGTCTCCCTGAGAGAAAGATATTAAAAATTTGAGGAAAAGTTCAAGTTATCCAGGTGAAGGGTAGAAGAAATATGTTCGCAAGGGAGTGTATTTAAAAGCCTGTAGGCGAGAGAGCACAAAACATAGGAAGAACCAGAAGCGTTTAAGTACAGTGAGGCCAAACCATTCACGAGAAGAGCAGAGTGCATAAGATGAGGTTGATGGCATCTTAGAGGGTCTCATAAACTCTGTTAAGACATTTGGACTTTATCCTAAAGGTGATGCAGAGTCCTTAAAGGGTCTTAGTGGGAGTGACATGGGGAGGAGTTGTAAGGATGGAGTAAAACAGTGTGTACACTAGGCTTAGCATAGTGTTGGCACCTCATCCCCCGCTCAGTAAGTGGTATGTGCTGTTGGTATCATTTGCAACTTCTTCATTACTCTTAGCATTACCAACTTTAGTTAAAAGGCCAAAATCTTGCTGTGCTCTGTGGAAAGAGACTTAGGGTGGTTTGTTATGGAGCAAACATGTTCGTTCTGAAAGGCCTGTAAAACTATTCTCAACACCATGCAAAAAGAGGTGGGAAGCCCAAAGGCAAATTTCTCTTCATGTATATTCTTCCTCCTCTTTCTCCACGCCTCTGCCTGCCACCTCCTCAGTGAGTTCTCATGCAGTGAAGTCATCCTACTTTCTGGCACTTCTGTCAATTTCATAATGGTTTCTTTGCTGGAGCCTAAATACAAAAATGCAGGTGGGCCAGATATGTTTTCAAGAGAAGGCAGGGGGGTGGGGAGGCGTTCTCATGCTCACAGTTTGAGAGAGCATCTGTGAAAAGCACAGGTAGGCTGCAAAGTGACACGGGTCCCTCCGTGCTTGAGATGACTCACTTTTGTTTTGGCTGAGGGGAGATGTCAGATTACTTGGTGCTTTACTATTAAATAAATACTTTGCACCCTCAGGTAGCAAATATCATGACAGGGCTCAATAAAAGCTGAGGAAAGAAGAACTTATTTTTTTGTTCGTTAGACTATTCACTTTCCTTGTCCTCTGATCTGGCTACATGTGCGTTCATTCATTTATTCCATGTATCTTAGATGCCAATCATATGCCAGATATTGTGTTTGGTGATGGGGGTACAACAGCAACCAGGACATAGAAAGATGGAGAGAAATGACTTACTTTTTTTCTCTGTCACTCTCTACTGAGTGTATATACTTGTAATCATTTGATTAACTAGGTATATGATGAGATCATACTATACCCTTAGAAGGATAGAATGTTCTCTGAGTGATCAAAACAATAGGTAACATCGGGTTAGAATTTTCTTTTTTATTCTTCTGGGTTGGAAAGAATTTAAATAACTCAAATACCATTTTAAAAATATTAACACCTTGCCTCTTTTTGTTGTAGATCATGTAGTGTTTATAATAAATATATGAATGCCAACTATGGGCCAGATGCTGTACAAACCACTTCAAAGTGAAGAAAGTTATTGATTTCCTTTAGAGATGTTATGCTAATGCATTGTCTTCAAGGAGCTTTCAGTGGGAATCAC